GGAAGTGGCGCTGTGGCTCAAGTGGTAGAGTGCTAGCCTTGAGCTGAAGAGCTGAGGGACAGTGCCCAGGCCCAGAGTTCAGGCCCCACGACTGGACCCCAAAAAAAAAAAATAGAATAAGGTAGGACTTTTCTTCTTTGTTCTTGGGTGTTTTTGCCTCCAGCAAAGCCTAAGGCTTGATGTACAGATTTCATTTTCTTCTCATAAGAATGCAGAAAATAGCCAGATGCTGGTGGCTTATGCCTGTCTTCCTAGCTACTCAGGAGGCTGAGATCTGAGGATCACAGTTCAAAGCCAGCCCCGGCAGAAAAGCTGTGAGATTCTTATCTCCAGTAAAACACTAGAAAACCACAAGTGGCACTGTGGCTCAAGCAGTAGAGCATTCGCCTTGAACTGAAGAGCCCAAAGTTCAAGCCCCACGACTGACCCCCCCCAAAAAAAAAAAGAATGCAGAAAATCTTTCTTGATTTTGTTTTTACCCTGCCCTGCTTTTTAAGATGTGTTTGTCTATATTGGTGCTGTGGATCAAATCTAGAGCCTCATGTATGTTGAGTATGCATACTATCTACCAATGATCTATAACCCCATCCCAGAAAACAAAATAGCTGATAATTAATACAATTTTTTTCTATCTAGACATTCTACATCAAAAAATCCATGATAAACTGGGTGCTGGTGGCTCATGCCTATAATCCTAGCTAATCAGGAGGCTGAGATCTGAGGATCAATTCAAAGCCAGACCAGGCAAGAAAGTCCATGAAACTTTTATCTCCAATTAACCACCAAAAAACCAGACATAGCACTGTGGCTCAAGTGGTACAGCGCTCACCTTGAGCTGAAGAACTCAGGGACAGAGCCCGGGCCCAGAGTTCAAGCCCCATGACCGACAAAAACAAACAAACAAACTCCATGATGACTTGGTCTCCAGCATCACAAAAGCAACCACAGAAGATGAAATTTATATATAACCTTTCTGAGCCTCTTACCGCTTTCCTCCATCTCTACCTTTCAGAGTTATTCTGAGGATTAAATGAGTTGAAGTGGGCTAAATGGGTAGCACATGGTAGGTAATATTTAATTCAGTAAATACTCAATGGCATCTACATGCCTGTTCTTAATAAGCACTTGTTTCAGCAGAAATATGTCACTCCCATATTAACTAAAAGTATGGAGGAGGTGTCCTTCAAAGAATAATAAATGAGTATGTCATCAGATGATCATGAGTGCCACAAAGAAAAGCTTCAAAAACAGTAATACACACACACACACACACACACCTTGGATAAAGGGACAAAAAGTTTCACAACCAGGGGCTGGGAAGGTGGCTCAGTGGTAGAGCGCTTGCCTTGCATGCTCGAGGCCCTGGGTTCGATTCCTCAGCACCACATAAGCAAAAAGAAATAAAGCCGGAAGTGGCGCTGTGGCTTAAGTGGTAGAGCGCTACCCTTGAGCTGAAGAGCTGAGGGACAGCGCCCAGGCCAAGAGTTCAGGCCCCACGACCGGACCCAAAAAAAAAAGTTTCACAACCAAGTCTAGTGGCCCAGTTGAGTATATTGTTTCACACACATGAAGAAATTCTCAGGTGTGAGCCACACAATCTCGTTTCTATCTTAGAACAACGATTTTGCTTATCTTTTTTTGTTCCTCTGCAATGTCCCCTCTCTTGTCAAGAATAATTCCTTCACCTATCTTCCTGATCCCGCCACTTCTATCCCCCTCTAGACTTTCTTTCCCCATTAGTCATCCTTGTCCTCAAACTTCGCAGAACACTGGCCCAACTTCTCCACTTTAAACACACATGATTTTCGTTCTCTTCAATACTCTTCCACTTGGTTGCATTGTTGTCTCTGGATAGTGCCCTGTTTTTCTACTTCAAAAGTATGTTGCTTATTGCTTCTAAGTCATATTTGCCCTCTTATTCTTGACAACCCCAAACTGGTTTTTGTTCCCAGTACACTAATAAACTTACTCTCCCAAGTCACAAATTAACCCTTTTAACTAAACCAAAGGACGTTTCCTTCTGTTTTCTCCACATGTTTGCAGTTTCCATAGAAACTGAGCTACAGGATGACAACTACAGCCCCATTTTCTACATGCTTCCTACAGGTTGAGAATCCCTAATCCAAAGGTCCAAAATCTGAATTTTTGAGTACTGACATGATGCCACAGTGGAAAATTCCACACATGACAGGATGTAGTCAAACTGCAGGCTCATGTCAGGAATGGTGGCACTTGCCTATAATCCCAGCACTCACAGGCCGAGGCAGATGGATCTGGAATTTGAGGTCAACATGGGCTATGTAACAAGACCTTGTTTAAAAAGTAAAAAGAAGCCGGGCGCTGGTGGCTCATGCCTGTAATCCTAGCTACTCAGGAAGCTGAGATCTGAGGATCACAATTCAAAGCCAGCCCGGGCAGGAAAGTCCATGAAACTCTTATCTCCAATAAACCACTAGAAAACCAGAAGCAGCTCTGTGGCTCAAGCAGTAGAGAGCTGCCTTGAGCTGAAGAGCACAGGGACAGTGCCCAAGCCCAGAGTTCAAGCCCAACAACTGGAAGAAAAAAAAAAAGTAAAAAGAAAAAAAAAGGGAGGCAGGCTGGGAAGGTGGCTCAGTGGTAGAGTGCTTGCCTTGCATGCCTGAGGCCCTGGGTTCGATTCCTCAGCACCACATAAGCAAAAAGAAAAAAGCTGGAAGTGGTGCTGTGGCTCATGTGGTAGAGCGCTAGCCTTGAGCTGAAGAGCTGAGGGACAGCGCCCAGGTCCAGAGTTCAGAATTCAGGCCCCACGACTGGAGCCCTCCCCCCCCAAAAAAGCTAGGTGTTCTACTTTTCTCCATTCTACATATGAGATCGCTCAAACCAAGCAATGTCAAGTCACTTCCTTGAAGTTACAAAGCCTATATCTTGTGTAATATGATTTTAACTGCAAGTTTGTCTTCAACAATTGATATTCTTAACCATTTATACTGCTGCCACATTTTTTCAGGCTTTTATCAGTTGTAGGACTTGAACTCAGGATCTGGGTGCTGTCCCTGAGCCTCTTTGTGCTCAAAGTTAGTGCTCTACCACTTAAGCCACAGTGCCACTTCTGGTTTTTAAGCAGTTAAGTAAGAGTTTCACTGGGACTTTTCTGCCCAGTTGGGCTTCAAACTGCAATCCTCTGATCTCAGCCTCTTGAATAGCTAGCATTACAGGTGTGAGCCACTGGCACCTGGCTATTTTTCAGGCTTTTAAAAAAATTATATATGAGGGGCTGGGAAGGTGGCTCAGTGGTAGAGAGCTTGCCTTGCATGCATGAGACCCTGGGTTTGATTCCTCAGCACCACATAAGCAGAAAAAGCCAGAAATGGCACTGTGCCTCAAGTGGTAGAGCGCTAGCCTTGAGTTGAAGAACTGAAGGACAGCGCCAGTTCAGGCCCACGGCCAGCAAAAAATAAATAAACACACACACACACACACAAGCAATGTGTTCATTTAGGGAAAAAAAATCTTATATACAGTATTTCAAATTGAGAAAGAGAAATTTCCATATTCTTATCTAATTCCACTTTCCTAAGATAATTTCTATTTACTTAATTGCTGATATGTCTCTTCCAGTCATCTGCACAGATAGTCTTTCTTTACCTTGAGCTGGATATTATATTCACCTGGGAAGCTTTTAAAAAATTGGACCTGGGCCCCAACTCAAGCATTAAATAAAAGCCCCTGGGGGCTGGGTGTGGTGGTGGACACCGCAGTCTCACCTCCTAGAGAGGCTGAGGCAGGAGGATGGCTTGAGCCAAGGATTTCTAGGCCAGCCTGGGCAACATGGAGAGATCCTGCCACCCCTCCCGCTGGGAGACTGATATTTTAAATTCACTTTCTCTCTCCTAGAGTAAGGAGGCATTCCTGTGGAGAAAAGCAGCATTTGCTGAGGCATTTCCTTTCATTCAGCATTCTAATTGCTATGATGTACCCAAGTAGACTTAGGACTGAAGCCAGGAAATAGTCATTCACCAGATTGTGCCTGATGAGTTCTTTAGCAAATTCAAAGGGTGATGAAGCGTTGTCCATCAAACTTTTGAGTTCTGCCTGCAATACAAAAAGGAAAGACTGATGAAGTAACAGAGGTGTAGCTTTTGTTTTTGGTTTCTTCTTTGTGCTGGTGCTGGGACTTTAACTCAGGCCCTGGGCACAGTCTCTGAACACTTGATCCACCTCTTAAATTCCAGCTTTTTGTGGTTAATTGGATATAAGGAGTATCACAGGCTTTCCTGCCTGGGCTGGCTTTGAACTGCAATCCTCAGATCTCAGCCTCCTGAGTAGCTAGGATTATAGACATGCACCACAAGCATCCAGTCCAAGGTGTAATTCTTTTTTCTTTGTCTGTCCTGGGGCTTGAACTCAGGGCCTGGGTACTGTCCCTGAGCTTTACTTGCTCAAAGCTAGCACTCTACCACTTGAACCATAGCATCACTTCCAGCTTTTTCTGTTTATGTGGTACTAAGGACCCAAACCTAGGCAAACATTCTACCACTGAACCACATTCCCAGCTCCCAGAGGTATAATTCTTAACTCACATGTTTTACAAAATGCTTTCTAGTTTACAAAGACTAATATTTACTCTCATTTAGCCTCATGACTCTAAGTCAATGTACTTGTTATTGCCCACACTTTAACAAATGAATATAATGGTTCGTTGTCTTAAGCTTATACTTAGGTAACAAGTTTGAAAACAAGTGCATTCAAGCCTGAGGACTCCTCAGGAGGATCTTCATTTTCAGTGACAAGTGTTTAGGAAAAGCCAAGTACTGGTGGCTCATACTTGTAATCCTTTCAGCTCAGGAGGCGGAGATCAGAGGACCAAAGTTTGGAGCCAGCAAAGAGAAGTGAAGCTGGCTGAGAGTGTGGCTTAGAGGTAGAGTGCTTGCCTAGCATGCATGAAGCCCTGGGTTCAATTCCTCAGTACTCACATAAATAGAAAACACTGGAAGTGGGGCTGGGAAGGTGGCTCAGTGGTAGAGCGCTTGCCTTGCATGCATGAGGCCCTGGGTTTGATTCCTCAGCACCACATAAGCAGGAAAAAAATAAAGCCGAAAGTGGTGCTGTGGCTCAAGTGGTAGAGTGCTAGCCTTGAGCTGAAGAGCTGAGGGACAGCGCCCCGGCCCAGAGTTCAGGCTCCACGACCGGACCCCCCCCCCAAAAAAAAAAAAGAAAAAGAAAACGCTGGAAGTGGTGCTACCACTCAGGTGGCAGAGTGTTAGCCTTGAGAGGAAGAAGCTCAGGGGCAGCTCCCAGGCCCTGAGTTCAAACCACAGAACTGGAGGAAAAAAAAAAAAAAGAAGTGAACCTGTAGCTCAAATGGTAGAGTGCCAGCCTTGGGCAATAAAAGCCACTTAAGTGAGGGGCTGGGAAGGTGGCTCAGTGGTAGAGCGCCTGCCTTGCATGCCTGAGGCCCTGGGTTTGATTCCTCAGCACCACATAAGCAAAAAAGGAAAAAAAAAAAAGCCGAAGTTGCACTGTGGCTCAAGTGGTAGAGGGCTAGCCTTGAGCTGAAAAGCTGAGGGACAGCGCCCAGGCCCAGAGTTCAGGCCCCACAACCGGACTATAAAAAAAAAAGCCACTTAAGTGAGTGTGTGCTGAGTTCAAGCCCCAGTACACAGACACACACACACACACACACACACACACACACACACACACACACACACACAGTGTTTAGGAGCTGAGCCTTTAATGAGGCTGATTCTTCAACTTCATTTAAATCACACTACTCAAGTATCGCTGCCCTTCAGTTTTAGAATGCACTAGGTCCATTGTGTCTCTTCTGCATTCTTTCCCCATTAACTCACCTTAAAACAAAAAGTCACATCTCCAGAAGTGTTTTCACTGAGGCTTGAGGCACTCTAGCCCCTTCCTGACTTTCCATTCTTCCGACCCTGCCAAGCCATGCTTCAGAGTAATCTTCCTCTTATTTTTTCTTTTTCTTTTTTTTTTTTTTGGGGTCCGGTCGTGGGGCCTGAACTCTGGGGCCTGGGCACTGTCCCTCAGCTCTTCAGCTCAAGGCTAGCACTCTACCACTTGAGCCACAGAGCCACTTTCCGGCTTTTTTCTTTTTGCTTATGTGGTACTGAGGAATCGAACCCAGGGCCTCATGCATGCAAGGCAAGCGCTCTACCACTGAGCCACCTTCCCAGCCCCCTCTTATTTTTTCTGTCTCCACCAGTGAGTCACTAAGCTTTCTAGATAAAATCATGGCATTCTTGATTGTTCTCTCTGTGTCCCCCAAGCTCATTCTGCCTGATCTCAGCTGGGAGCTCACGTCTGCTCAGCAATCCTTTTATTCATCTCTTGTCCACAGCAGCAGTTCTCTCATTTTGGGTAATGCTAAGCTGGCTCAGCAGTTTTCCAGCTTTTTGGACTCAAGATCCTTTTTATATTCCTAAATTATAAGGATCTCAAATATTTTTATTGAAAACTAGATTAACCCACAAAAATTTACTGAGAAGAGTGGCTGTTGGACATTTCTCACAAGTTTCTACGAAGTCTGGCTTATTAGAGGACAGCCAAATGGGCTGGGCAGATACTCAGGATGACCAATGAGATGCCAGGCCAAAAGTGACTGAGGTGCTTGTAAGCATTATGCTCACCTTTGGTCCTCAGGCTCCACCCAGACCTGAGCCCCTCCCATCCCTGAAGTTGCTGCCATACAACTGGCCCCTCCCTCTCTCCATCCAGATCCACCTGGACTTCCATTTACCTCACTTCCTAACCCTCAGACCCTGCTGCTACCCAGCAAGTGCAAGGCTCTGGGTCCCAGATCACATTTTTTCCCCCTACTACTGGGGATTGAACCCAGGGCCTCACACTTTCCAAGAGAAAATGTCTTATCATTTGAGTCACACCCTCCAGACTCATTGTTTTATTCTGTTTTTGAGATAAGGTCTCAATAACTTTGTGCTGGACTTGAGGTCATAATTCTCCTATCTCCAACTCCTAAGTAGCTGGGATTATAGATATGTACTACCACACCTGGCTCCAGATCATATTTTGATAATCATTGGGCTAGAGTATTCAAGTTGATGCTCATACTGAAAACTAAAAAAATGAGATAAATTGTTTAAACACACACACACACACACACACACACACACACACACGCACACATTTTCTTAGGCATTCTTCAATGATGATAAGAAAGTAAAGAGGCCAGGCACTGGTAGCTCACACCTGTAATCCTAGCAATTCAGGAGGCTGAGATCTGAAGACCACAGTTCAAAGCCAGCCCAGGCAGAAAAGTCTGTGAGACTCTTTTCTTCCATCATTCAACTTAACAATGGGAAGCAGAACTGTGGCTCATGTGGTAGAGGGCTAACCTTGAGTGATTAAAGCTCAGGGACAGCGCCTAGGCCCTGGGTTCAAGCCCCAGGATCAGTGTACATGTGTGGGTGCATGCACGTGCAGATACAAACCACAAAAAAACTCAATATGTATATCATTAGTTTCCTACAGAATCATAGTGGCAATGACTACAGGGTATTAATGAAGCCTCACAGATGACAGAGCTTAAGAATATCTTGGAGCCTGTAAGGTAATTCAATTGGAGTTAAGGCAATTAGAAACATATTTGCATCCCTACCTCAGCTGCTTTGCCATTGTAAAGTCGAAAATGATTACAGGCCTTAAGATTGAGTGCGATGGTGCTATCAGGTATTTGCTGAAGGTAAACAGCTAGAACCTCTTGAGACACATCATAGTAATCCAACTTGTAGTAGCAGAGGGCCACGTAAACGTTGAGAGCCAGGTACTCTCTATGTGAATGAAGGGGAGAGATGCAGGATTAATAGTTTAAGTGTTCCTCAGAAATGCTGTCAGACTACAAAGCTTGGGTAGACAAGGACAGGACAACTATTTGCCTTGCAAGAAAGCAAGCAAGATAGAATCAGTGCATTTTTCTCTATTTGCTTTGTCATATATATTTCAGTACATTCAGTTTTTACTTTTATTTATTATTGTGTTTGAACTAGGTTCTTCCTATATAGCCCAGACCAACCTCAAATTGGTGATCTTTCCCCCTTAGACTCCCCAGGAGCTAGGAATTACAGGCATGTATTACCTTGCCTGGCCTTTGAGGGGTGCTCTGATGTGAGCAGAGTACAAGATAACAACTAGAAAAGCAAGGGAAAAGGTTATGCTGCTCATCCTGAGATGTGAACACAGGCTACAATGAAGTATAAGCAAATAAGCACACAGTGTACAGGGAACAGCTAATGATGGCAGGTAGGCCCAAAGACTGGTAATGAAAACTGGCTGGAGACGGGAGACAATTCAGGAGGAAGGAGGGAAGGCGGATGAGATCCGGAGATGGGAGAAAGACAAGGGTTAAGTGGTGAAGTTGGATGTTAATTCTTCAGAATCATTTGTTTCTCATTCTTTCTGCAAATATTTCCTCCTCTCTCTGTTTTCCTCTCTTTCTCCCTTCCCTCCTTTCTTCTGTCCAGCACTGGGAAGTGAGTCCAGGGCCTCCTGTTAAGCCAGTCTGCCATCACTTGAGCCTTGTTTTTGATAGTGGTATAGCCACGCTGCCAGCTCTTTTGCTTTAGTTAGTTTTTCAGGTATTGTGCTTTTGCTCTAGCTGGCTTTTCATCACAATTCTCCTATATTCACCTCATAGGTAGCTGGAATTAGAGGCGTAAACCATCATGCCTAGCTTCTTCTTTTGGCATAGTGTCTCACTAACTTTTTGCTTAAGCGGGCCTCAAACCACAATCCTCCAATCTCTACCTCCAAAGTTGCTGGATTGGTTTTATTTTATTTTTGACACCAAGTCTTGCTACATTTGTCCAGACCAAACTTGGGACTCTCAATCTTCCACTTCCTAAATAGCTAACATTATAAGAGTGCCCCATGACAGTCCAGTCAACACATTTTTGTTTGTTTTTGCTAGTCCTAGGGCTTGAACTCTGGGTCTAGGCACTGTCCCTGGGATTCTTTTGCTCAAGGTAGATACTCTACCACTTAGCTACAGTGCCACTTCTACCTTCTTTGAGTAATTTATTGGATATAAGAGTCTCATAAGAGTTTCCTGCCCAGGCTGGCTTCGAACCATGATTATCAGATTTCAGCCTCCAGAGTAGCTGGGATTAAAAGCATGAGTCACCCACTCCTGGCTTAGACAATGCATTTTTAACAGGGGTGATATCACTCTCAAAGGTGCAATAAAAAACAAAAGGATTGGGCTGGGAAGGTGGCTCAGTGGTAGAGTGCTTGCCCCGCAAGCATGAGACCCTGGGTTCGATTCCTCCGCACCACATAAATGGAAAAAGCCAGAAGTGGTGCTGTGGCTCAAGTGGTAGAGCACTAGCCTTGAGCTGAAGAGCTGAGGGACAGCGCCCAGGCCCAGGATTCAAGTCCCACAACTAACAACAACAAAAAAAGGATAATTATTTTACATGAAAGCACATACAGTAATACACATAAATGTTTGTAATTAAATATATTACAACAGCATGTATTTATTGGTATAAATACCAGTATATCAGGAGGAAACAAAAGGGTCTAAAAATGGTCCTTACATGGGATAATTTTTTTAAAAATAGAGAAAACTGGGGCTGGGAAGGTGGCTCAGTGGTAGAGCGCTTGCCTTGCATGCTCAAGACCCTGGGTTCGATTCCTCAGCACCACATAAGCAAACAGAAAAAAGCCGGAAGTGGCGCTGTGGCTCAAGTGGTAGAGCGCTAGCCTTGAGCTGAAGAGCTGAGGGACAGCGGCCAGGCCCAGAGTTCAGGCCCCACGACTGGACCCAAAAAAAAAAAAAAATAGAGAAAACTAAGCTTAAACAATCTGTAAAGAAATACTAGAGCCAGTGCGGGTGGCTCATGCCTGTAATCCTAGCTACACAGGAGGCTGAGATCTGAGGATCACAGTTCAAAGCCAGCCCGGCAGGAAAGTCTTTGAGACTCTTATCTCCAATAAACCACTAGAAAACCAGAAGTGGCACTATGGCTCAAGCAGTAGAGCACTCACCTGAAGAAGGCAGAGACAACGCCCAAGCCCAGAGTTCAAGCCCCAGGACCGGCCAAAAAAAAAAAAAATACTAGATAATCAAGTAAACAGATTAAACTCATGGAGTTCTAGATCCAAAGAATACTAGTTACTCAGCCAAACTACCTATAAAAGAAACTAACAGGCCGGGCACCAGTGGCTCACGCCAGTAATCCTAGCTACATGAGATCTGAGGATCAGGATTTGAAGCCAGCCCACGCAGACAACATCTGGGAAAGTCTTGTCTCCAATTAACCAGCAAAAAGCTGAAAGAGGAAGTATGGCTCAAGTGGTAGAGAACCAGCCTTAAACACAAAAGCTAAGCAAGAGCTTGAAGCACCAGGTGCCCAGTGGCTCACGCCTATAATCCCAGCTACTCAGGAGGCTCAGATCTGAGAATTGTGGTTCAAAGCCAGCCCAATCAGCAAAGTCCATGAGACGCCTATCTCTAATAAACCACCAGAAAAACCAGAAGTGGTTCTGTGGCTCAAGTGGTAGAGTGCTAATCTTGAGCTGAAGAGCTGAGGAACAGTGCCCAGGCCCAGAGTTCAGGCCCCACGACCGACCAAAAAAAACCCCAAAAAACCCTGAAATTAGCAAAATGAGACTAGGACTAGGTATGAAAGGCCACAGACCTGTTATCCAGCAGTATTCGCTTATATATATCAATAGCTTCTTGGTAATGAGATCGCATATAGTGGATTGAGGCCAAACTGAGCTGATCTTCTGTGATATCTTGAAGATTTTGATGAAAGTTCATTAATTTTTTCTCATCATTGAACTAAAATTGTAGGAGAAAAGACACATAAAGATCCACATTAGTGGAAATACACTGTTGGTGGGAATGTAAATTTGTGCAACCACTGTGGAAATCAGTATGGAGTTGCCTCACAATACTAAAAATCAATCTACCTTTTGACTCTGCTGTAACACTCTTGAGCATATATCTGAAGGAGGGTAAATCAATTCACAAGACAAATACCTGCATTCGCATCTTTACTGAAGCTTTACTCATAGCAGCCAAGCTGTGGAATCAGCCTAGATATCCAACAACCAATGAAGAAATAAAGAACGTGTGGTATGTATATACAATGGAATATAATTTGGCCATTACGAATGAAATTGTTTACAGGAAAATGTATAGAACTATAGATCATCTGATTGAGATAGCCAAGCTCAAAAAGCCAAGTATCCCATGTTTTCAACTCATGTGGCATCTACACCAACCATGACTGCCCTCCAAGGGACCAGAACCTGACACTTGTGAATACATTAAGCAGATAAAGAGCCCTGAGGGGGAAATCCTTTTAACACTGCCAGCTAGATTCTAGTTAAGTACCTTTCACTATCGTTGGTGACAAGATGGACACTAGAGAAATGTTTTCCAAACAGAAAAAGGGAGATTAAAAACAGAAAATACCTTGTGAGCCAAATGGAACAGCAGGCGGTTTTGGAGCCGGCTCTTTGGAGCTGAAGAAGGAAAAAAAAAAAAAAAAGATGATCCAAGCTGCTTTTTAAAGAACTTAACAGGGGCTGGGAAGGTGGCTCAGTGGTAGAGCGCTTGCCTTGCATGCATGAGGCCCTGGGTTCGATTCCACAGCACCACATAAGCAGAAAAGGCCGGAAGTGGGACTGACACTCAAGTGGTAGAGTGCTAGCCTTGAGCTGAAGAGCTGAGGGACAGTGCCCAGGCCCAGAGTTCAGGCCCCATGACCAACCAAAAAAA